CGTCACCCTGCAGAACCGCGCGCCCATGGAGGATGGGCGTGCCGGCCTTGCAGAGCGACTGGTACCTGCTTGCCTTCAGCGACTCCCCGAAGAAACGGTGCTGGCGGAGTCGCAGGAACAGGGAGTTTGGAGAGGCAAAGCATGCGACTGGTTCTGGAGCTGTGGCGTTGCTCCGGCTGGCGTGCGATAGCCTGGAGATGCAGCCGAGCGCTGGCCTCCCGCATCTGTAGCGTGCGTTGGGCGTGCTCTAGCCAATGACATACGGAGCAAAGGTACGCCTATAGCTTCTAAGCCAACTGTGTCAATTCTCTTCTTCAGGGCCGATGCTCAAGGGAAAACTGCAAATACCTTCACCCACCACCACACTTAAAAACGCAGCTGGAGATCAATGGACGCAATAACCTGATCCAGCAGAAGAACATGGCCATGCTGGCCCAGCAGATGCAGATTGCCAACGCCATGATGCCTGGTGCCCCGCTGCAGCCCGTGGTACGTGCGCGTTTGGGCTCCGGTCGGTGAGTGCCGGGAGCTGCTCCGGAGGGAGCTGGCGGGGGTGCTTACACGCCTGTAAAGTCCCACGAACCGGTAGCTGGCGGAGAAATCAAATACGATGAAGTGCCGGTCTGCGTGTCTTTGTACTGCTTAATTCTCCCTTGCCTGGAGTAATATTGTTAGTTTAATTAATGTTGTTCATCTTTTGTTAATTTAATTAATTTTTTGCGATGTATTTCTTAAAATTAAGAAAGCGAGTCATCTGTGTGGGGTTTTCATGAATAGACATTTCCTTTGCAATTTCATGTGCTCTAGGAAATTCCTGGGCTGGAGAAGATTCCCACTGGATGTTTTCCCTTCGTTCCGGGGACCCTTCTCAGGGAATTAGTTCCTGGAATTGGACTTTGCGTTTCACAGCGCGTTGTCAGGCAGGGCAGAACTTGCCCTGGGTGACGTATAGAGCGTGTGGGTCTGGGCTGCAGGATCCAGAGCGCAGGCTTGGCGGGAGGGAGCTGATCACGCTCTGTGCGGAAAGCCCAGGGGCCGGGGAAGGAGAGTCCGTCAGAGGCCTCTCGTCTGGTCAGCGCAGAACGTGGCCGTGTCTCACATCGCATCTGTTGCTCCTCCGTAAGCACGCGCAGTGCAGCGGGGCGCAGCGCTGAGCGCCATGGCTTTCCCCGCAGCAGTCCCTCCTTTCAGCGCGTGTAACGATGACTGGCATCAACCCGCCCTGCACCCCGTGCCAGATCCTCTCGAAGGCAATCCAGCCAGCCTATGGAAAAATCTGGCCCAGAACCCTTTCAGTATAAATTGCTGGCTCAGACGTGAGAGCGTGCTGGTTAACAGATGAGCGAGACGGGTGCCGGTCGGTGCGTGGGCAAGGCTGGTACGTGCTACGTAGACAGGCAGGCGGTGCTCCCCTGGCTGAAGCACTCTATTTCAGCGGGTAAAATGGCAGCAAAGGGAAAAAGCTGAACAGGAGATATACAATAAACAGATCTGCATTAGCACTTCTCTGACAGTTCTTTTCTTCCTTTCTTGCTGGCAAGGGTGGAATTCAGGGAGTTGAGTTTACCTCCAGATACCTGCCGTTAGGAAACCTGTATTCACTCTGTTAGAGGGGTTCTTCAGCTTTTATTTCGAAAAACGCAGTGACAATTAATACTCCTCCAAATGTAGCAGAATCCTTAGGAAAAATCATCTCCCCAGAAAGGACTCTCACACTTGTGCCCAATGCTTGTTTGGCCCCGCGTTTTGTGGGTCTGTAGAATACCAGTCCTTATGTTGTAGCGTATTTGATGCAGTTCATGGAGCTGTTACTCTCCCACAGAGCTTCATGCCTCGGCTGTTGCAAGGAAAAGTGTGTGTGGGGGAGAAAAGCAGAAAACGTCGGATCGTCACAGTAAATTGGCTTTAGTTCCCAGTAGCACAGCGTGAGAAGATAGGACGTTTTGTTGTCTCCCTTGTGACTGGCTTTTCTTTAAATGAAATTTCTCCCTCACCTAGCGAGGGGATGCGCGGAGGCCACGTGCAGCCACGGAATGCCATGGCATGGCGGGGATTCGGGGATGCCCTGGCTGCGCCGTGCCGGAGGAGCAGGGCTGCCACGGGCTGGGCCCACTGCCTGCCGCTCGCAGACCAGGAGCAAAATTCAGCATCCGCACGGCGAGACAGCTCCGACACGGGCTGTACTTCACGTGCTTCAGCTCCCCAGGAACCACAGAATCATTTTTCAGTTTCAACGGCTAGAAACAGACGTGCGCACGTGCCACAGTTTTATTTTTATTTCATGATTTGAGTACAATGATGCAGCCTCAGTGCCAGCAGTCTCGTAATTGGGACTGTGGGGAAGCTGAAGTCAAAATGCAGCCGGTCAGAACCAGGGCTTAAAACGTTCTGCTCTGCTAACCGCTTTGTCTGCTTGTTTCAGGAATCATAAGCGAGCGCGGCGCTCTCGGGTTCACACCGAGCAGTGCCTGGGCACACGCTAACATTTGGGTAAAGGTAAAAGAGTAATGTGATGCAGTCCTTTGGGTTAATGTTCCTTTTTAATAGAAGGAGAGGCTAGTGTGAGGATAATCACAGAACATTAGGGGTTGGCAGGGCCCTCTGTGGGTCACCCAGCCCAACTCCCTGCCCAAGCAGGGTCACCCACAG